TCTATAACTGTCTGGTTTGGTTCTGCAACTCAAACGTGATTTTGAGCTCAGATGTAACTGAATTTTAGACGGATCTCTTATTTTATAATATACTCTTAACAGATCAGCTACAAATATATAATTCAACAAACAAAGTCCTTATACCTGTATGTGCAGGTAACATTCAGACAGACTGAGTGGTTTGGATAAATCTAGGCTTTACATCTGGCTAAGGGTTCCTTCAAACATCAACCTTCATTTATTCCCAATTCAGTTTAAAACATATCTGGGATTGACCTAAGCAGCTTTACACTATTTGTAGGTCACCCAAGATGCTTCAAGCTTTAAATGTTGATATGATTGCAAATCTAAAGCTTGCAGAGAGCCACTAGGAATCAGTTTTTGTCCTTTCTAACCAAGAACTGGGCACAGAGAACCATTAGCCAATCAATATTGACAACAATATTGCATGTGAATAACTAAGTGCCTTATCATGCCTCAAGTCCAGATCCATAATATCTATTTAAAAATATAAGTATTAAATAGCATTTTACATGTTTCCTGATAGCAAACCTGTGTTGTCTTAATTTCCTTTATCATACAATGTTATTATGCTACTACAATGGGAGCCAGCAGCTGGAGTATGCAAAGTATCCCTTCCAATGAGAGTCTCTTCAAACACAAGCAGGGCTATATAACTATTTGTGAAGCAGCATTTGTTGCTTGAAATGAATTTCTCATCCACAGGCACAATGCCACTGGCACAGGGATACAGTATGTTGAAATTCCTCACCCCTGCAAGCCTCCACTTTCATGCCATGTTCTCTACTGGAATTGCTCCTTCATCTGGAATACATCCAGCTCTATTAATCTGAGTGAATCAGCACCTCCATTCATTCATATGATATAAATACTTTTCTGTAGCATCATCAGCCAGATTCAGTCAGGACACATTCTTCATCAGTTTCCTGATCCTAGACCTTGACTCTCTTTCACCGAGTCTTTCTGGATCTTTGCAGCTGCAAGGAAAAATAGATATGGAAGATGCAATAATCTCTAACCTTTTCAAATATTCAGGTTGAAATATAATAGACATGCAGAAGACTTTGACATTCACCCTAAATAAAAGTTTATTTTCCTTAATAGCTACTTATCTCATCAAACTGAGGGCATTCCATAGTTATATATCTCTAAAAACAACTGTTGGGATAGTGTTCAATAATCTCATGAATCTCATCTGGTTTGTTCCATAGATTTATGAACCACTGAAATATTGTATGTTGTTTCTGCTTTATTCAAACTGATGTTTGCTCTTTTCTATTATGGCTGGACACAGCAATAGGACTGTTTGCCTGCCTATTGTTACCAAGCCATTGTCCAAAAATAAATGTGGGCTAGGCTGGGGACGGGAAGTGACTTTTTGCTGCAAGGTTGCACAGTACCTATTGTCATATAGCTCTGATCCATGACTGCCATACCATCATCAGGATACTACCAACAATCAAAGCAATTTGGCATGTAAGTGTATGGCAGGCATTTGAATGGCTTCCTGCATAAGACAATTTGTATATAAAATGCAATTACCAGAAGTTCGTCAAACCCATAATCAAGTGATGCGGTGTGTGTGTGTGTGCGTGCGTGCGCGTGTGTGTGTGTGCGTGTGTGTGTCTTCTGTTATGGATCAAATGAAATGGAATAATAAGTGCTGCTGGTTACTAGCTGATTACTAGTCTTCAAAAGTTGTGAAAAAAGAAATGTTTGAGAAAGTTATATCTAATATTGGCAATTACAAGTTTTAATAACCATTTGGCATTCATCAATAATTGAATTCTTGTTTCATTATTCAATAATGAATAATGACACGATTTCATCAAGAGTATGTCAGTTACAATGACTTTTTGTTCTTCCAAACTTATATGCAGATCTAGCCACTGTGTCTTTTCTCAGCCTCTTTTTTTATTGTTTTTCATGTTCTTTGGAATTATGATTTTTAATGATTACTTTTGCCTTTGCATTATGCATCCAAAATATTTACATTTTATCTCTATTATTAATGCTTCTGATGGACTGTCTAGTTTTGCTTCATCTAGTATTGAATGCTTTGTTGTTCTTGCAGTCTAAGGTAATATTGACTATTTCCTCCAATACCACAATTCAATCACTTCAATAGTTCTTTGTCCAACCCTTCTGGTATCCACTTTTCAAAATTATCTCTTACAACTGGGATACATAACTCTTTTATCAGTGTGAAATTTCTGCATCTTAATATTTTATTTAAATATTTCAAAGTCTTGCTTTCAATTAGCAGACCTCTTTCTAGTTCCCATCCCTATGTATCTTTGAGCCTAGGAGGATAATGTCTCATCCTGTATAATTTATTCTCCAGAATAAATTACATTGAACTGGTGCTTCCTGTTGATATACTTTCAGCTTTTTGAGCAGCAGACCAGAACTTTCACTTTCATATTTTACCTTCAACAAGAGATATCTTAAATGCTTCCCTCTTCCTGTCATTGAAATGGGACCATCATTTATAACAGGTCTGTTAATGTGTTTTTCAGCACTTTAAATATAACTTTTATATTCTTGCAGAGCCACACACACAGAGGATACACAATGAGTGATGATGTATCCTGTATGTATATCTAACTGTTGCTTCCTGGTCGTCATAAAAATTATTCAGTGAGGTGGCTTGGTACACCAATGTTTTAAGGTCAATTTTTTGTGATTTACACAGTCAAAAGCCTTAATGAAGCCTCAATGAAAGTTTCAATACATATAAGATTTATTTTAAAATTGCCATGCCTTTTCCATCGTCTATCAGATGTTAACTACCCAATCTTGTATGTTCAATGTGGAAGTTCTTATTCCATGTTGAAATATGGATTATAAAATCATGAGCATGCTCATACTAGTGACTGAGGTGTGCAATTATTTAGTCATCTGAGCAATCTTTTGCACTTCTGTTTTTGGTATTGAAATATAAATTGATCGTTTCCAATCCCATGGCCATTGCAGTAGTTTCCACACCTGCCTATAAACCCTATATAGCATGACAACAGTATAAACATTTGATTGGCATTTCATTAACTTCTTCAATGTTTGTAATATTATCTAGAAGTTTTGCCCATTTAACTTCACTTTCTGGAATGTTGGACTCTAGTTTGGTTATCAAACTTTTGTGTCCATAATTTCTATAATAATTTTATATCCATATATTTGTAATTTTCTTCAATAAATCTGATGCCCTTCCCATTTGATTATTATCCGCAGTTTCTTTCTGTGGATTTTTTAGATACAACTTCTTATCCTACCTTGGTCTTCTCAAGCTGTGGATCTCAGTATCTACTTTGAGCAAATTTTCCTCTACTCTCTCTTGCTTTTTCTTTTCTTTTCTTTTCTTTCCATTTCTTCTTCTTCTTCTTCTTCTTCTTCTTCTTCTTCTTCTTCTTCTT